TTCCTGAGAATTTAAAAGCAAAATCAGCCCGGACAATGATTTAGGAAACCATGTACAGCCATGACATTTTCACAGATGTGATTTTCAGTTTCAAAAGCCTGCTTTTAAAAATCTATTATTTAAGATGACATAGCACTCACTACCATTCAGGAAGATGGTAGTAAACAAATAGGTTCTTATTGTCATTTTGTTTTTTGCCAAAGCAATGGCAGTCTCTTTTATGTCACTAAACTGACTCCCAAACAAAGAAGGAATTTAATGGGGTTCCCAAAGCATGTCAATACAGATTAGCCCTATGGCAGCTCTGCTTTATGGAACATTTAGCCTCTGGAATAGTGACTTTCTGGCCGAGAAACTTATAAACAAATACTATTTGTAATATGAAAGTTTACTTTTATTTCAGCCAATGTTTGTTGATGCCGTGGAGGTAGTAGGGGATAATGGCAATGGCTTTGCAAGATGATGGTACTATGAGACCTTAAGAATGTTAATTTGTCCAAGAGTGCTTTAGAATCTCATCTATTAAATCGGGTATATCAAATGCTCACAAGGGGGTTATGATATAATATGTGTAATGTAGGCACCATAGCAAAATGATTGAGAGCAAGGACCCTGGAGAAAGGCTGTGTCCCATGAAAGTATGAATCTTGTCAGTTTTGCTGAAAACTGTATTCCCAGGGTTTAAAATGGTGCCTAGCACATGGTATGTGCCCTGTAAAGATGTGTTGAGTAAATGGAGTCAAAGCACCCTGGCTTTGTGAATTCTTGGTTATATGATTATGGGCAAGTTCCTTACCTCTACAAGCCTCAGCTTCCTAAACTGAGAAGTAAATGAGAACAGTGTAAATGCTTAATCTATTAGGTATTATCGTTCAGGTAACATGAACACAGCCTGAACAAAGTAGGCGCTCAATCTGTCATAACTATTATCACCAATTTGAATTTACAGTTAATAAGCTGTTTATTTTAAAAGACATTATTAATGAGGATAATGTTATGAATTAAGGAAACTACTGGTTTTAAACAATATTGTGCACTTGAAAGTCTTATGAAAACTGCTAAACAGAAGACATTATTAATGCTTTAAAAGATGTTTAGAAGGGAGCATTCATGCACAATTTAAAATTCCACTGTTTAAAAATGCTTTCTCAGATATTTACTTTTTCTCATTAAATATCACTGTGAATGATAAAAGGAATCTGCTTTTACACATTCATCAAAGGCAGGAGTTCTGAAAAGTGTGGGAAATATAGTTGACCCCTGCGTTCAGTACCAAAAACAATAAAAAAAAAAAAAAAACCCTCATCTTCTAAAGGCAGAACTTGTTAAGTACTGAGACATATAAAGTATTTTGCAATACTGAATAAACCAATAAATATTTTAAAATATTATTGCACAGAAGACAAAAAGAAATGAAATCACTTGTTATCTTAATTCAAAACCCACAGTATATATTTTTTTCAAAGATATATTTGAACTAACATTTCAGCAAGGTAGAATTCCCCTCTTCTATTAAAAAATGTATATATATAAACATAAATAAATAGGCATTTATATTCATATATTTAAATTTTATACTAGAACCACAGGGTCCTTCTTCTTTGTTGCACTTGTTTTCTGTTTTTTTTTTTAATTTCTTAAAGATTTTTTAATTTATTCATTCGAGGCAACAGAGATACAGAGAGTGAGCATGAGCAGGGGGAGAGGCAGAGGGAGAGGGAGAAGCAGGCTCCCCACTGAGCCAGGAGCCTGACGCGGGGCTCGATCCCAGGACCCTGAGATCATGACCTGAGCCAAAGGCAGACGCTTAACCATCTGAGCCACCCAGGTGCCCCTCACTTGTTTTCTGTTTTATCACAACCTTTTTTTCATAGGAGACAGAATTCAGTGAAGTGTAATGAGGGGTGTTGCCTACCAGGGGAGACTTCCATTACTATAAGTGACTCACAATATTTGTGCCAGAGGGAAGTTCTCACTGATGCCAGCTCTCCTTACCTCACCCATCTATCTTCCCTTCCATCTATTTTATCTTTCTCTTAATTTTCTCTATTTGCCTTTTTGTCTTCTTTCTTTACCTTGACTTTGCTTCAGGACTGGTTAGAAATTCTTGGGCCTATCATAGGTTAGTCCCCAAGAAAGTCCTTACTGCCCCACCATGATCCCTCTCCTGTCAAGCTCCTGCTCTATCAGACTGTTTCCAAGGGCCTTCTATATTCACAGAAGAATTCATTGTGATATCAACAGCAAAGTACTCACAGGTCAATGACAGTGGGTTGAAGTGCTGATTGTATCTGACTGTAATTAGGAAGGAAGGGGCATGCCAGAGGAAAGAGTGAAAGCAGTCAGGAGAGAATCAGTGAAAAAATGGAGGGAAAAGTAAAGCAGAGTGAAATTCAGGCCGAGAGAAAGGAAACCACGGTACACGTAGTGTGGAAATGAGGCACTGATCCCTCTCTAGTCTGATATTTGAGCGCATTGCACTGAGTCTTGATACTCAAATGTGACTTTTTCAAGAAAGGAAAGACGCAGCTCAGACTGATCCTGGGTGAAGGGTGGGGGTGGAGGATGCCTCCATTCTGTGGAGGAACCTCCTTAAGTAGGGCGTTTGCACCGGCCTTCTATAGGAGCCTCCTTCCCCTCATACCCCCACTTCAGCCTTAACTCAAGGCTTCATTTTCCTAAACTCTGGGTGAGTGTCTCTAGCATCAGCTCGCTCACCAAAATGATACTGTCTCCTCTTTTGTGTCTTAATTTTCCACCTCAATCTATCTCTGCTCCCCTGCTCATTCATTCTTCCCTGAAGGAACAGGAAGAAGATAAACAAACAAAACCCTCTGCCTGTCTTTCAAAATCACTAATGATCTAGCAAAATGGAAACAGAGCAATCATTGCCCAGGATTCACCAACAAATACCTCTTCTCTAGTAGGGTCATAGGGTCTTCTCACTATCCCTGATAAGCCCAGGGACTGGGTTCCTATACCTGGAATGCTGTGTCTACACACTGCCAAGTCCGTGTGACCCCACCTTCCCTATGATGCCTCCTTTTATTACTTAAGTCTGTGCTGAGTATATTCTTTTCTGAATAGTACCACAAAACTCAGAAATTAGTTGTTTACTGACTGTTTATAATTATATGTCTCTCTTCCCCAACTTGAACAATAAATCTCAACAATAAATTTGAGAACAAGTACAAAATCTTATGAATCTTTGAATTCTGACACTGGGTGATTCACTAGAGTATTAAGAGAATCATTTTGGTAGATTCTTCCAAGTCCAGACAGAGCCTCATCATTTACTATATACCATGAACACAACTTCTGTCTTTCAAAGTCCCTTTTCTTCACAATCCCAAAATCTGACACTATTTAAAAGAGAAAAGATTATTTTGTAATCACAAAGATTTTTATAATTGCATTATTGGAAACCTTGTAAGGAAACAGTTCTTTAATCAACTTGTTATGCTGGTTTTCTTTTATTATTTCCACATACCCTTACTCCTCCTGCATTATATAATAAAAAATGTGTATATTATCAGTCTCCTTCTGATTATCAATTTTCCTGAATATCAGCATGTGAACTCACATCTAGGGTTTATACTGTGAGTGGCCCCGTGCTGTGCTTATCAATAATAAAGTTATATTTTTAGATTTAAATACTTCTGAGCATTTGAAAAATTCCATATGACTTCTTCTTTTCTAATTAGTTGATAAAAGATGTCTTCGGGTCATTGATTATAGGAATAAAAAATAATGCAAGAGATTCTTACTCTTTTCTTAAATTTACACTGTCTGTCAAAAGGTGAGTGGTAGAGATTCATTTTCTGTAAAACACTGCATTTCTCATCCCATGTTGGAGTCAAGCAGAGCACCAAGTAATTATCTCATTATACATTCCCTTGGCCAAATGTATCAAAGTTCCCACCTTCACATGAGAATTAAATATTGGCATGTGGTAACATTTCAATTTCACAACTGAGTTCTGCCTATGGAGATCTAAGTCACAAATCACTCCAGGTTGGGGAAGGAAATCCAGTTTTAATATTTTTTCTTGCATAATCAGAGTTTATATATTTTTATCTACTGTCAGCACTGAAAACTTCAGGTTTTATTAATTTTTCTGTTTGAGTCTTGTTGGAGGGAATAAGTGTTGCAGGAATAAGTGTTCATTTACAATATTTTTAGTTTTTATTCTTCCTAGTGAATATTTTGATTGTCTTATGTACATCAACAATTTAATTTTCTGCTGAGATCTCCAATTTAGGGCTTTGTTTAAAAAAAAAAAAAAGTGGTTCTACTCCTAGAAGATAAAGGAAAGGAAAGACAGTATTGTTAATAAAATATATTAAAATTTCTTTTTTTGGAAAAAAAGTCCAAAAAGCAAGAAAAGATTAGAATGAGTATCATCAGTTCAAGATTAGCATTTCAGTTTCCTTGGCAATTCATAAAAATGGTAAGCAAAAAATAGAATGAAATTAATAAAAATGAGTGCGATGTATAGTTACACAATGCAAACCTAAATAATCTTATTGACATCTGACCTCTGCATGAAATACTTAAAATGTCTTTTGTGACAAGTATTTTGCTCTAAATGGCTGCATCACTGAACACGATGGTAGATGCTTCCAGCAATCTTAGTTAAAAGATGGTATTATCTCATTTGGACAATACCGAGGTCTTGAAAGAATAGAGTAAGCATTTTTCATGATAGGTAGATTATTTTCTAACTCAACAGTAACATCACATAGAGATTTGCCTTTTTAGTCATGATTGTAACAAATTTTACAGTGTAACTGTTTAATTCATTCTTTGATTTATAGCTATAATCTATAGTGTAATCTAATTGCATTAAGGCACTGTCCATTATTCTCTCACAAAGAAGGAGGCTAATATCAGAAATGATAAAACTCAGTATTTTATTTTGACCATATCTCTATGTGCTACATCACTTACATACTGTTATGATCTTTGTAGCAATATGCAAAGAAACGTGTGAAACTCACTCAATGAAGTAGACTTCACCCTTCTCTGTATAGGCCATTTCCCAGTTATCAGGCAATGGGTCTGACTCCTCATTCTCTTCAGGCTTAGTTGGTTTTGCATCATCCATCTGCTCCTTCAGCTCCTCGGGCTGACTGTACACTGGTGCAGGATAAGGCTGGGAGGGTGTCTCCCCTGAGGCACCTGCACTCTTGTCTTCATGTTCACTGGATTCTACAACAGAACAAGAGCATGTGGTTAGTCACTCTAGCCACAGGAACTTCTCAATGAGTGTGGAGTATGATGCACCAGGGAATAAGCTCCATGAAGGCTAATAGGAAAAGCATGATTGCAAACAGCTCTGAAAATCATCTCTAGGCCTAGTTGAGTTCCCCTTTCACTCATGATTCTTGTCTATACTTCATCTAATTATTGATGATTACTGAATTGGAGGACCATTTCACAACACAGGTGTGGCAGGCAGAATAATGACTCCCTAAAGATGTCCATGTCCTACCTCCTGGAACAGGTGAATGTTACCTTACATGGTGAAAGAGAATTTTGAGATCTGATCAAATTAAAGACCTTGAGATTGGGAGATTTCTTCAATTATTCAGGGGTCCTCACTGTAATGACAAGGGTCTTTAAAAGTGTGATAGGAAGGCAGAAGAGGAGGGTCAGAGAGAGATGTGACACTAAAGAATGGCCAAAGAGATGCAATGTTGCTGGCTTTGAAGATAGAAGAAGGGGACCAACCAACCACAAGCCAAAAAATGTGGGTGGCCTCTAGAAGCTGGCAAGGCAAGGGTATGGATTCTCTTCTAGAGCCTCTAGAAAGGAACACAGTCCTGTTGATACTTTGATTTTAGCCCAGCTAGTTCCATGTCAGACTTCTAACCTATAAAAATGTAAGACAGTGAATTTGCATTGTTTAAACCATTACATTTGTGGTAATCTGTTATAGCAACAATAGAAAACTAACACAATAGAGTAAAACCTAAAAAAGATACATATCTTTAAGAGTAATGGTAACAGGCTTGGAGGAGAGACCCAAGAGTCCCAACATGTAAATAGCATGAGCTCCAGAATGAGGAAAGGAACACATAGAAAAGAAATAATAACTCAACAGCAACAACAACAACAACAAAAATAGAAGAAAATTTACCTAAGATGAAGAAACACTTGAGTTTGCAGACCGAATGGTTCACTGAATCTGACACCAGATTAATGAAGCATATAGACTCCTAAACACATCTAAGTAAAATTTCCAAACTCCGATATTAAAAAGCAACTCTAGAAGCTCCTGCACTGAAGAAATATGATTACTTGCAAAGAAAATAGGAACAGAAGAACATGAGATCTTTCATCTGTGATACTCTAAGCTCGAAGACAATAAAGTAACATCTGTAGTAACTTGAGGGGGAAAAAAGTACAGCAACTCAAGAACTTAACTCTACTAAAATATTATTCCTCTATCGGGACAAAAGAAAGTCACTTTAAACAACAGAAGTTCTGAGTATATACTACCCATGCAACCTACTTGAGGACAACATTTGAGGAATTACTCTAACCATTGCACAGCAATTGAATCAGAACAGATAAAACAAAATAGGAAGAGAAAAGGAGAAAATAAAAATTAAGAAGAAGTATCCTCATGATATACCTAAATGTCAATGGAGGGTGATCACATTTCTGGAAATGCATAATACATGTTAAAGACAAACTCTTGAAAGAGAAGAAAACATTATATGGAAAATCTAATAACAGCATCGGTTTTCAACTATATCTTGGTTAAGCTCAGGTTCTAGAGGGTGGAGAAAAGGCAGAGAAATAAAGACATTTTAAAGGTCTAATAGGGGTACAACAGGGAGTGGGTAAATGAGATAATTTTAAAGCCTATCTTTTCACGGGATTAGATTACTGGGCGAGTATTTTGGTCAAGGTGTAGATGTAATGTAATTGTATAATAGGGATATTTTTGAAATATCCTCTAATGTATACTCTCTCTGAACTATTTGGAATTTCTTTTTCTTCCCATTTCGCTTTTCTACCACTAAACATAGACCATGAGTCATATTTGTTGTCAAAGAGTAGAGTGGGGGCCATCTAGAGAAAGAAACATGTTTGGGGTAAATAAAAAGAAAGATATAATATAGAGTAAGTTCCTGCAAGGTAAGATGGTATGATTGGAGAGAAATTTAAAGGGGAAATGTTCAAGTTTAAGACACTGCCTGGTTCTTTCAGGGATTCAGCACCACTATCTTCAGGTTTTGGTCTGGAGTATGATGTGGTTGTGGTAAGAAAAGGGAAACCAAAGAAAAGGTGAAGGGAGTCCAAAGGAAAGGAGAACTATGAATTACTTTAGTTTACAACTTTGGGAGAAATGTTTCCTGCAGAGTAGCCTCAAATCTCCACTGGAGGGTCAGAACAGATAGACTGTGAGTAAGGGGCGCTTGGGTGGCTCAGTCAGTTAAGCACCCAACTCTTGGTTTCAGCTCAGGTCATGATCTCAGAGTCGTGAGATCGAGCCGTGGGTTGGGCTCCACGCTCAGTATAGAGTCTGCTTGAGATTATCTCCCTCTCCTTCTGTCCCACTCCCCTACTCACATTATCTAAAATTAAAAAAAAATAATGAAATCTTTAAAAAAATTGGCAAATACACTTCCAAGACTCCCTTGTGCTATGGATGTCATCTAAAAGTCCAACTATGCCCCAGTGGGAGACTTGGAAAGTAACTAAGAGTAGAGTACCAGTAGACCTGCAGTGGGTCACTATGGCTTCCTCATAGCAGAAGGTGTAGTAGAGACAGTTTAACCCAGGAACTGGAATGAGAGTCCTACTGACAGATGCCAGTGTGAGGATAGGACAGCCAACTTAAAAATATGAAATTGTACAATCATTTGGAAACATAATCAATAGCTATTAACATGAAAAATATAAATATACAAATGCACATATTCTTTGACTCAGTAATCCCACTTTGAGACTGTATCCTCTAGAAATAAAGGTAGTGTGGTATAAGAATACATATATAACAATATGCACAGCAGTATTTGTAGTAAGAAAGCCCTGAAAATGGTTTGAATGCCTATCAATGAGAATATGATTAAGAAGATTGTGATTATCATTACCATGGAAAGCTATAGTTTAAAAACAATGAATTAAGTGTGTATCTATTGAGTTGGAAAAGGTGCTCATCATTACTATTCAAAGAGTAATCCAAGTTGCAGAGAACGTATATTGTTAATCCTATTTTTTAAAAATAAGCAAACACCGAGTTCCCTTAGATATATACATATAATTTTGTATATATGAGCATGAAAACAGGATGGAAGGTGTACAATAGATTGTCAACTTTGATTCCTTAAGGATAGTAAATTTAGATGGGGTGGGAGAAGTTTTCTTTATGTTATCTTTGCATTCACTGGCTATCTATTATTTTTATAACTTTAAAAATTAATAACAGTAATTTACAATGAGTTAAAGTAGAATGCCATATTTGTCTCAATCAATTGCTTAGATCAATGTTTTCCCTATGTGCATCAATCTCTGAGGGCCATATTAAGGTACCTTTAGGAATTAGAAAGCACAAGAATACATTACAAGCTTTCATAGTTTTGCCCTTTAAGGGCAAAGAACACTTTTTTAAAAAGAATACGGCCCCTTATTGATGTAGTCTTCCAGTTGATCCCTCATACAGAATTGACCTTTGTAAATGTGTAGGAAAGAAGCAGCAAAAAAAAGGTACCATAGCTCCCTTTAGATTCTTATTGCTGTACCTTATTACAAGTAATTACCAATGCACAAAATACACTGTTCTCAGGTATTTCCAAATGTCACGTTGCATTTGAAAAGTTAAAATGCAAAGTCATGTTCTGAAATATTCATCACTCAATATTCATTTAATCAATATTTATTAAGCACTCAATTGTTGTCAGGGACTGAGAACAGAAAAATGAACAAGACGGGCATGATCCCTGCTCTCGCAGACCTCAAAATATGTCAGGATGTGTAATCTTTAAACAAGTTTAAGTGTGATGAATGCTTTCCCAGTGAAAGCTGGGATATAATGCATATGCATTCACTTAATTTTATATAAAGAGTCAAGGAAAGCCCTTTTTTCCCAATGTACTACAACCTGAAACATGAAAAAGAAGTCAAGAGACTTTTTTCAGAGGAAGGTAACGGAGAAAAAAATAGATAAACAAGGACCAAATTAGGCAAGGCCTTAGAAGGCATGCTCAGAATTCGGGACTGTATCCTAAAAGCAACGAGAGGGCATTGATGTATCTTAACCAAGGAGATGACACAATTAGATTTACATTCTCTACGAAGATCCCCTGTTCTGGGGGTTTGAGAATGGCAAGAGTAGATATTTAGAGGTCTGTGGGAAGTTATTTGTGTGTCCTAGACAAGAGATGATGGTGGCACAGTCATGGAAAGAAGTGGACTGAAAAAATATTTAGACATCATGGTAAACCTGGTGGGTGGCAAAGCCATACACTGAGATAGGAAATATGAGAGAAGGATCAGGACTGTGCGGGGGGTCAGGGAGAGTATGGGCATAGTTTTGGGCACACTGAGACAGAGTTCCATGCCAAACTCACAATGGAGATGTCATGTCAGAGAGTTCTTGGCTGGAGAGAATCAATTCGAGAGACAACAGTATGTAGCTAGACTGCATTATAATTGAAGCCAGAGCAGTGAATGAAATTGCTTAGAGAGACAGTGCAGCAAGTAGAAACTAGGATCCCTAGAGCAGCTGTCTGAGGAATTCCCACATTTAACGGTCAGTGAGAGAATGATTAGGAAACAGCAGCCAGGGAAGTAATAGGAAAATCAGTCGATCCTCATGCCATTAAAACCAAGCAAAGAGCAATGAGGAGGAAACATTTACTACCTGTGGCCAAAGCTTCTAAATTGTCCAGCAAGATAAGGGCATAAAATCTACCGAAATTGGGCGCCTGGTTGGCTCAGTTGGTTAAGCAACTGCCTTCGGCTCAGGTCATGATCCTGGAGTCCTGGGATCGAGTCCCGCATCGGGCTCCCTGCTTGGTGGGGAGTCTGCTTCTCCCTTTGATCCTCCCCCTCTCATGCTTTCTGTCTCCCATTCTCTCTCAGATAAAGAAATAAAATCTTTAATAAAAAAAAAAATCTACCGAAATTAAGGACATGAAGATCACTGGTGATATTAGCTACCAGTTATTGTAGTAGTTATAGTAGAATGATGGGTG